GGGGGGGGGGGGGGGGGGGGGGTTGTGCATGATGAATTCATCCGGCCTGTGAATACTTAGCAGCGCAGGCATGTGAATACTTAGCCGATCCGAAATCTGAAACCTGATATCATTGGAAGACATGAAAAGAAATCTGAGATCTGAAAGTTGGAATCTGAAGCATTCTTCAAGAACCGTTTTTTTGGCCCGGCGGCCGGTGTGGCGGTTGATTCTGTGAGGGTGTCGGTGCCTTCCGGTGAGAGTCCAGTGAGCGGTGGTGCGTTGGGGTGGTTGCTTTCCCATGCAAAATCGGCGCCCCAGTGACGGGGATCACACTCAGCACCCGAGTGGGACGGCTGAGCGAAACACACTCTGACACTGGTTTTCAGTTAACGCAAGTCACGTTGGGAAGGAAGGTGAGAGAACAGAAAGGTGCATAGGTCCGAGCACTTGAAAGGTTTAACATCGTTGTCACGAAGGCGGCATCAAGCAAATCAGCGGCGCAGCTGCTGGGGAAGAAATGGTTTAGGGGAGGGTATCATGAAAAACCATGGAAACAAACCAAGCAGATTAGACAGCGTGGTCAAAAGTTCAGGTTGCAGGTACGTCGAAAGAGCGTCCTCTTTCGATATCCTAGTCTGAACCTGGAGCTTCGTTGGCTCACGCCAGGAACAGACCCGTGAGCCCCCTGCCTGCCCCTGCCTGATTGGAGTGGTCGAAGGAAACCCTTTGTCCAGGGGTGGACACACACACACATCGAAACAGTTGACCCTTGGTCTCACTGCTCGAAGCAAACAGGTGGAAACAACAAGCAGCACCCGCTTGCGCATTTGGCTCGTTTGTTTGGGGATGTGTTGTTTCCCGTGCATTTTCCCAGCCTGGCACTGCCAAAGTTGGTGCAGACGTTGGCGACGCCGGTTTGGGCGTCGGCGGCGCTTTCGGCGCTTTCGGCGTGGCCTCGTTGCGGAGTCGAATTCCCAAAAACGATTCAAACGGGCCAGTGTTTTTGTGAAGGTGAGCGGAAAATCAGGGCCTTTCCTGCGACAACAACAGGGAACTACAACAGCAAACAATTGCGACACTGTTTGGGAAGACACCCACTGAAGACAGAAAGAACCACCCTTAAGCCTTGTGGCATTGCCGGTGTGCGGCAATCTACAATATACCATACATGCGTAAATTAATGTGTGGGATTGGAGTCGGAGACAGGTTTTGTTGAGTTTGGCTCAAGCAAACATCACTTCAGCGCCTGTATATTCTTGTATGGCACACATGCCATTCATGTCGCTGAAATTTATCCCAGGCAAACGACCTTACAGAATCAACTTAGTACAATCAACAAGATTCCACAAGTACTTGCTAGCTGTAGTAAGTCGCTAGTAGACTTAGAAGGAACAACATCCACTCCATGCTACTGGATCTTTACCAGCAAAAATAAGCAAAAGTGTTGGATCTTTACAACAAAACCAATGGTACTGCCAACAAAACCTCAACAAACCAATGGTTTTGTTGGTTTGTTACAATAAACCACCTTCACACGTTACCATTCAACAAAACCTGCGAGGAGTCCCTGCCGCTAACAGCAAGCGGCTTCCGCCACGTGTCGATCACGCCGGCGATGGCCTGCGTCTGGAACAACATCCGGTCACACCACCGGTTGGAGAAGCCGCTGAATGGGATAAACATCCGATAAAAAAAGGAAAACAGGCCTTGGAACAAACATCATGGAAAATCCATGGGTGGGCATTTTTTGGACGGGGTATTAGGGTGTCTTGCATATTGGGGATCAAAGACCACAAATCAAACACTATATCACTATATATTACAGTATACAGTTTTGCAAACTTTTGCGCATACAGGTGGTGCAAAGCCTCTGAACAGCAGATTCAACCAGTTCTAAAAGGTCTTTGCTAGACTACCAAAAAAACTAGTGGAATAATTGCAAATAATGATTCATTCATGCTGCGTCAACTCCTGGCCTACTCATGGCAACAAACATGTATGCTGGACTTTGCCCGTGTGGGTAAATGGAGTTCATATGACAAATGAATTCTCAAATTGATTGGGGGAATATCAAATAAGACCAAAACTCGCTGGTCGAGATCCTTTGGGTCCAGCGAATCCTCCATCCACGGTCCAGCGAATCAGCGTTTCGCAACCACCACTTTTGGCGACAGATGGGAGACATGACGCAAGGATACATGCTTAATGGCAATGCTAAATAAAAACTAGACGACGAATGGCCCGAAAGCATTTGTCACCACGTGTGAAGTTAGAGTGTGAGTTCTGTGCTATAAGTGTTCAGTGTGAAGTGTTAAATCTAGTGTGTTGAGTCAGTGTGGGTCTCTGTGTGTCAAACCCTGTCCCTAAGGGCTTTCCATGTTTTCAAAGCAGGGGCATACGGCTCGTCATACCCACCGTACGCAATGAAGCTACGGTATGACGAGGGAGGGGTGGACTGATCATCCACCTGTACCTGC